TATTTCAAATGAGCTTCGTCACTTAACTTCTGTTAAATTCAGCTCTGACATGAACTAAAAGTGTATTTGAGGTGCAGCTAACCAACGCTAAGAGAACTTTTCAAAAGTTTTTGTGCATATGCCGCAGATGCTGAAAAGAGGCAGATAGAGAGAGCAGGCGAGAGAAAGAGAGAGAGCGCAAGACCCAGTTTGTATGAGTGTTTAAAGGGGGAAGAGAGAGAGAGAGGGAGAAAGAGAGTAAACGAAAAAAAAAATCGTAATAATATCAACTATAAAAGTAGCAACATCAGTTGGCAGCTGTAAGCAAACCTAACGACAGACAGACTGGAGGACAGACAAATAGACGACCGTCACAGACATATTGTGTCTGCAAAACTTTGTTGACAACAGCAACCACAACAACAACAACAACAACAACGTGGAGATACAACAACAAGGAGAATGGCTGAGCCGAGAATCTAGCGGCTAAAAACCGCGCAATGGAGCGCATGTGGAAACAATGAAATTATTGGTTAAATTTATGTGCTCTCTATGAAGTGAGGCTGCTGCTGCTGCACGGGCTGCGCCCCACGCCCCTACGCTACCACCCAGCCCCCCACGCAATTTGCCTTGTAATTGCCGACATGTCAGCACATTAAACGGCCATAAAACGTTGGCAAAATGGCAAATCAAAGCAACTTGTCCCGCGTCGGCCAACTTTTCTAATTTACGACCGTGGAATGCAACAGTTAAGCGCCTGTGGCCTTTTGAACTCTCGACCCCGGCCACATTTACATGCACACGGACCGACCTCAGCCGCCACGCCCCCAGCTGGGCTGGGCTGGCCTGGACTGAGCTGGGCTGGGCCTGGCTGGGTCTGGCTGGGTCGGTCTACCTGCAGAGTTGCTCTAAAATTTATCATGACACTAATGAGCATGAAATGGGACAAGGTTTATTAAATTTCCTTTTTAAAATGCGCACATGGCAAGTTGCCCAGCGGAAGATGCTCCTCTGCCCTAGCAGCAGCAAGGAATGGCAACAAGTCTCCTGCATATTTTCCCTCTTTCTCTGCTCATCAGCGCAAGCGGGCGGCTGCACTGCATCGAGTCGAGTGTTGGCGACATGGAAGTGACGCCATTGCGACTTTCGCACTCTCCTTCGCTACCTATCAGCTGCCTAACTTTGGCCCCGCCCCACCCCCAGCACACACTCCGCTCTGCCCTCGCCACACACATAGACAGACGTCCGAGCAGCTGCTGCCCGGGCAACAGAATGAAAAATGTCCGCAAGTGCGAAAATGAATCTGCCCCATGTTGCAATTTATTATGCCAACATAATAAATATTATATACAGTTGGTGTGTCAGGCACTCACTGACTCCGACGGCCCATAGGAAAGGGGGGAGGGTCGCCTGCGCGTCATAGTCGCCTCGCCTTCGGGTGGCACAATTCGAGGAAGCGCCGCTTTGTAACAGTTTGAGAAATGTTTAAAGCATTGCCACACTCCTGGCCTAATTGTGGCTGAACTAAAGTTGGCTCTCTGCAGCCAATAAGAGAAACGAACGAAACTATTTCCTGCAGATATTTTGTTAAATTTGTTATAAAAGTAAGGTGGCACTACCTGAATGAAATCTTGAAATCCAAGCAGCGATAGACAAAATGTTAGTTAGGGAAGTAAAGTTAGTCCTCGGAATGAAATCAAAATACTTGGGAGGACACCAAGAATGTTCGACTGCTGGTTGAAGAAAATAGAATATGTTAAATTGGATATACATTGCTGCTGAATAGAGGTTCATTTGTTCATATGCAAGGCATTTGCTAAGATTTACTATTAGGAATATAAACTTCTTCTGCTTGATCAAACAATCACAAAACTGCAATTTTAAGCTGATAGATATTGCAGCTAGATATATCAATAAATTAAACTTTTATGCAGAAGTTTATTAAGTTTAGTAACAAGCAATATAAACTATAAAAGATTAAAGATTAAAGCTAAAGATTAAGCTCTGGATTATAAAGTTTTACTGTTGAGCTCGTCAGCTAATAGTGCACACACATCTATGGGGCGAGGCCAATTGAACACTATTTAATTATTTTATATGTATGCAAGACCCAAAATTTTTTCCTGTTTTCATTTATAGCATACTATTTAGGCAATAAATACATATCTATTTGAGTTGCAACATATACACTGAGTTGATTGTAGCTCCAAAGAACACCGGCTTTTATTAAAAATTCTTATATAAATAACTTACGATCATTGTAATTAGAGTATATCCCATCTAATATTCGCATTTCTCTATATGTATATATGTACATACATACATATAACGAGTCGAAGTGAATTGATTATAAATTTCTTAATTATTTTCACGCGCTCGGTACTTTGAAGTTATTAAAACTCAGTTTCGAATCTGAATTAATGATCTTTTGAATGTGTAATACTTTGAAAACCCGACCATATCTATAATATGTATTGACCAACGCGGAAAAAGAAATCACCAACCCATCAGTCTAAGCACTTGGAGTAAATTTAACACATTATATCAACATAGCAGCCCGCCAATGCAAATAGCGGTATACATCTTCGTTAATATAGAGTAATAAGACTAGATGAGAATCATAATTAAGGCTATTTGCCCTCTTCTGGTCCAGTTGAGCCGTGCAGAGAATCTTTCCAATTCCAGCTTCGAATGAGATCTTCCCAATTTGTAGTTAAATAAATTTAATATTGTTGGCCCTTCCACTTACCACTTCTAACCGTGCTGTGGTGCTTGTTTATTTAGAACTTAGCCCCAACCCTTCCGCTCCCTCTTGGGTGTCTGACGATTTTTGGGTACGCWCCCATAAATAAATCATTMAAATTGTCAACAGGAATTTATTTGCGTTGCGTTTTCGTTTCATGTAAGTTTCTTGCGGTATCCCAAGCGGAAATGGACTACAGAGTGGGGCTCGGAGTGGCAGTAGCAGTGCCAATGGGAGCGACCAAGGTGATGATCATAAGGACTCAGAAGAGGGGAAGGAGGAGCAAAGGCGAGCTACAGCCTCAGTACATTTTGCTTTTGTCAGAGCATGTCAGAGCTCAAGTTGCTGGCGACGCAGTCTGTCCCAGTGTCATTTCGTATTTGTAGATTTATGCAACAGTATGGGAGASTKTATATGTGTGTGATTGTAAGTGTGCGTGAATGTGTGTTAATGTAATAGTTTATGCTGTTCTGCTGTCATCTTGGTCGCCCTTGCGGTAGGCAGCTTTGTTGTAGTTGAGATACCCTAACTAAAGGCAGCAAAAATCACATGCAAATAATAATATTTCGAGTGAATGATGATACAGTAGGG